CCCCCCCGCCCCCCCCCCCCCCCCCCCCCCCGCCAGCTTTTAACTCTAATTTCAATCTTCTTCAACTGAAGAATCTCCAGGGACATGGGCAAACTTGTGTAAAATAGTTAAACCAAGCGTGTTTCAAAGAGGATTGCTGAGTTCCTCTTCCTGCCTTAATAAACCGAAAGGCCCAGTTCAAAGAAAACACGCTGGAATCAAAATTCAAAATATCTCACGACTCGCACGGATGGAGCAGGCTCCGAGCGATGGATGCGGCTTCATGCGTTGGTGGGCACGTAGTGACAAACATTTCGCCCTCCTTTTTTTTGTGTGTGGAAATCCTTCCTTTGGGTTTTTCTCCCTTTCCTTTTATATATAAATATATATGTATACTTTAAACCTTTCTATTTTCTTTAAAACTCCCTTCTTCCACTGTCTCTCAGGTACACGTCTAAAGCCACATCTTGATTTTATAAAGTTAACCCGTTCCTGCAGAGATCTGATCAAATTCGGGTTCACGCCGCTCACCGCCCTCCGCACTGCTCTGCTCCTCACGGCAGCGAGCCCGCACCGCGGAGCCTCTGCCTTAGGACCAATGATTTCTATATCTATTTCTCTCTCTCTCTCTTTTTTTTTTCCGAGTGTCTTGCGAGGGATCGCCTTCGCGTTACCTTCCCACCATGCGAGTCATGCCCAGGGCAGCATCGCCCGGATAACACATGCAGCTCGGAGCTTCTCCTCCTCTAACACCCCGTGGGTCGCCTTTCACCGGGGACGGGGACACACACACAGACACATCCGCACAAGCACAGAGTTGATCCCTGCACCTCCGGGAAAATAAATAAATAAATAGCCACCACGCGAAACCTTTCCTCCACCTCTGCCCTTTTGCGAGAACACTTCTTCTATCTAAAAGTTTCCAAAAGAAAATAAATACAAGTGACACTGTGCTGGGGGAAAGCTCATTAGTTCGTTGTCCAAGTCTAATAAAAGAACAGAAGTGCAAATTATAGAGTTCAGCTTCAACACACGCTCTGTCAACTAAAATCAACCGAGTGCAGCCTTGATTCAAATAGCTGCGAAGTTGGTCCGCAATTCAAAACCACCTTCCCCCTCCTCCTTTCCCCTGCCCACCTCCACCCTCCGCCCAGCCGCAGGGACATTTGGTTGGAAAAATATTGTTCCAAGGAAGGTAATGATAAAGCTTAACATTAGGAAGAGGAGTGCGCAAACTCATTTCCCCATCGGTAATCCCAATAAAAGGAGCGTGGTGCTTCTCTGGGAAGGGCTGGGACAGGGGCTGCGTGTGTGTGGATGAGGAGGGGGGGAGGAGGGATAGGACTCCTGAAATAACATCTTTTTTCCAGCAAGGTAGAAGAAGAAACGGCCCCTTTGTTTTGATAATTAGCTAAGCCCAAACTAGGAAAGCAGATGTGTTTGCTTAGCTAATCATAAGACAAGTTTCTTTCAAAGAACTTCATTGAGCGATGGCAATTCTGAAGGAAGGAGAAGGATTTCATTTTCCTCTCCCTTGCCTCCCACCCTCTATTTTTATTATTATTTTTCCC